GTAGATGGAAGAGAGAAAACCAAATTACTACAACCAGAACACCGAAGAATAGCACACACAAGAGAACTTCCTTTCAGACACTTTTGGTTTTGTAGAGTAGTTCAGATTTCAAGTAGGCAACTTAAGAAGCACCGTAGCATTTGTTCTATTTTAGGGTAGATGTTGCCACATAACAGATTTGTTTTTAGATTAATTCAGCGGTGGTGCAAACTGCATTTACAGGAAATCTGAAAAAGTGATATGATTCTTTGTGCAGTGATGCACTGCATGCTTGAATTTCTACATGCAGCTATTTGGATTGCTACTAGTAAGAGGACAAGTGTTTGTGCTTTCAAATGCAAGCATGCAAAATGTGCACATGCTTGCAATGAATATTATCCTGCTGCATTTTTGGATTCGCAGTAAAAGGTGTTACGCGTCTCACTACCACACACCATTTGTATAAACAGTAATTTCCATTTAAATCTCTACAACTTGAAATTTAGCAGTAGATACTGTCACTCCTAATGTTCCCTGTAATTGAAAAATACTATTATGAGACGTTAATCACAGAATGGTTTGGGTTGGAAGGGACCTCTAAGACCATCTAGTTCCAATTCCCTGTTTTAAGCGCCTGGCCTTGAATGCTTCCAAGAAACCACAGCCTTTCTGGGCAACCTGTTCCAGTGTCTCCCTCACAATAAAGAATTTCTAGAATATCTAGTCTAAATCTACTCTTTTCCAGTTTAAAACCATTTCCCCTTGTCCTGTCGCTACTTGCTGTTACAAAAGGCTCATGGCAACCTTGTTAATACTGATATTGACGCCGCACTTACTATCAGGTACAAGAGTAGTTCTGACCACATAGAAGGGAACACCTGGAGAACTGCTTTTGGATTCCTGTAACTATTCTTCAAAGGCAAATTTTAAAAAGCATCCAAATAACTGCAGAAGTGCCATTTTAAAACAACTCAGTGGAGAACAGAGCTCAACTTTTCCTGCTCAGAAATAGATGTTATCTGTTTCTTAAGTTCTGTTGGAAACCCAAAATGTGTTACTCCTGCTTCAGCAGGGCTTACTGACATCTGTGGGAGTCTGATATGTAGGCACAACACACTGTTAAGAGTCCAGAGACAATCAATTTTGCCCTCACTGTGTACTCTGGATGATTTTCTACTGTGCCCTTGTGTAAAACTGAATTACCCAAGGGCAAATAAGCACTAAGCCCATCTGATTATCTGCAAAGTGCAAGCTGGGTCTGATATATCCAAATTAATGGCCAGCAGAAGGAACAGATCATCCCAAATAGCATTAGAGTCAATACAAAATTAAAGCAGTGAAATGAAGAGATATGGCACACAGAAGTTCTTGAGTGCACTGAGGACTTTTTTTCTGGATCGAGCTGCTAGGCACACCCTGCATTAAACCACTGGCATGCAGCGGTCTCTGCATATGGATTAGCAGTGGTGTGCTCACACAGCTGCGCATATCTGGTAAACTGCTTTTGATTTTGATTTTGGTAGCAATCCAGCAGTGGCCAGGTTTCTTGAGGGTAGGCTGAACAGTCATTCACAGATGTTTCAGGATGAAAAAAAAAAAAAAAAAAAAAAAAAAAGAAGGCTGGTCACCGCAAATAAAATGATTTGTTGCTGCTGTAATCCTGCTTGGCTACATTCTCTGAGGGACCAGATAAGCGTTATCTACATGCCTGGACATGGACAGTTGCTATGTTAGCAGAGCTAGGAGCTCTGTCTGGGCACCGCGCTGAGGCAGTTTGTGTCTTCTGGACCAAAGCTGGCTGCTGCCCAGACAGACTGAGGAGTGGGCAGAACCACCGCCTGCAACTGCCAGCACACAGCTCTGGCAATAAGCTTTTCAAAGAACACAGCACTTCACGCTTTTGCCTTTTTTGACTAACAGAAAACAGCAATGAAGTCTAAATATGCTGAAATTACAGACTGGATTTTGATTTTTTTTCTTTTTTTCTTTTTTTTTTTCTCTCCAATCAAGGCATATCATGTTGTACCCCTTCTAGTTACATTCATAACACCACCTTTGCAGCAGTTTGCCAAAACAAAACAAAAAAATCTACAGGAAGGAGTCTGCAAGTAGGTTCCTGCCACCTTGATTCATCCCCCTGGCATTTATGTATTAGGAAACCATCGCAAAATACATATATTGTACAAGGCCAATGTTCCAGTTGGTGTACAAGATTAATAGATCCTACATACAACAGTATATTGAGAGGATACTTATTTTCCTCAGAGATTATATATATGCATATAAAAATATCCAATACTAGCGATACAGCTTCATGTTTCAGAGATTTAGAAAGAAGGAAATGGAATTGTTATTTTTGCTGAAAGTCTCCCTCCCTCCCTCAGATAAGCACAGCTCTAAATTTAAAAGAAGGCAAAACAATATATATATATTTTGCTGATTTCAATACATGGAAGTTCATATTTGTGCCATAAAGCATCATGATTTCTGTCAATTCACTTGTGTTTCAGCATTATATTTTGAAAGTTTCCCTTTCAAGTGTTGCCTCCTGCATGGTGCCAGGCTTCGGAGCACATCTGCTTGTCTCACTATTACAAATAGAAAAGCTTTGCAAAAGTGACATGATGTCACAGAAACACAATTCCATGCTCTTGAAGGCAGAATTAGCTTTATTTGTAACAGCTCCTCGAGTCAAAATGCACCTCCACAAAAGCCTACAGGAATGGATTTCAAATGAAATTGAATTCTGCCTCTGTGATGTGCCCATAACAAACAGACCCTGTGCAGACAGTAGATGCACATAAGCAGAAACACTCAAATGGTTTAAAGACAGCACAGCATCATGTGGAAGCTTTCTGGAACAAACAATTTGTATTTGTGCACAATAATTGGAAATGGTTCACAGACAGCGTTGTACTCTTGGCGAAGCTCAGAGGAAGAGGTAGGCACAGACCAGCCCTGCTGAAGGTTTAGGCTGATCCCAAAAGGACTCAGAGAGCTGCCGATGGCCACCGTACCACCCTGAGATATAAAAAGCTAATTTTATAATGTCTGAGAAGTCACAAAGGCAGTTAGATGTTGCCTACACTATAGAAAATCTCTTTAAGAAGCCCAAAATTCAAAACTATTTCAAAACTAAAGGGAATGTAGCTAAACGTTTAAAATACATGGTCACCTTCAAAAACAGCTGATCTACATATCTTTTAGGCAGCACCTGGCTTGGGAAGGATTTAATTGTGTGATAAATCATCCCACGCACAGAATAGAGAAGGCCAGTCTTGGAGATCAAAAATCGAGCTCTGGCCGCTGCCTGCAGCTGCAGTAAAAATGTGATTTCAGCAGTGCCAGTGTGCTGACATGCACACTGCTGTTTGTCGACTCCAACTGAAATTCTCTATTTTTAGCCTTTCAGCTACTTTCAGATAAAATTCCTGCAGATAGGACTAGCTGTATAGGTCAGATAACATACAACTCTGAAACCACAGATGACCTCATGCAACTACAAAGAAAGGTCTGTTACTTAAAACAAGGCTAAAATTTAACCCAGCTATACTAAAATTAAACAGGGAGCATTTTACAGTCCCATTACAAGGCATAAAACAACAGTCACCATAAATTCACAGTGCATTTACTTGTAAAAAGAGTAATTAATAACCCCAAGTAGATTATCTCTGAGGCAGCACAACACCAACGCTTTCTCACGCTCGCTGGAGATTTTACAAACACCACTGAGAATCTATTTTAGCTGTCATCTGAGAATTGTTTGTCCAAACTGAAAAGTCATTGTTCTTTGTCACAATCCACAAGACACATTTTGTCATGTCCCACACTTCTAGCTGACATTAAGGAGATAAAATGAATAAACATAACTTGAACTTTCTGGAATGAGCATCCATTTGTAAGGATGCTTACTGACCACAGACCCAAACAAGCAGTCCACAGCAATTTTTCTCTGTCCAAAATGCACTGTACTTTCCTGTTTTCTTCTCCACTCTTCATGTTTGTTTCCCTATATATCAAAAGGCACCTGTTTCCTTCAAAATGCCATTCATTTCTGACAGATAGAAACATATTCATGAGTGCTATCATTCAAGCCTATCTTATGTATTTAAAGATAAATGTATATGGCAGAATGGATATATCTCACACTAGATACAATACAGATTGAGAGGATCAGTTTGCGCCCATTGCTCTGTTACACTCATAACTCTCTTTTGGTTTGCAGAATATTTGTCTGATATTTATTCACAACAAACACATCATGAAGGTATCACAGACTGCCAGTCGTGGCAGAAAGCTTTTTTCCCCACAACATACTTAAAAAAATTCTACTTTTCTTTATCGCAACATAGACAAGCCCACCACCTCAGTTTTCCTCTTTTCTACCTTAAAGCAATGACATTGGATAGCAGGTAGAGACAATCTTTCAAGCAGAACCAGCATTGAAATAAGGGGTCACATAGCACTTAACTGTTAATTTGCAATTACAGAATAAGTCTGATGTTTTCTGACTTCAAGTCACTTGAAAGGAGAAACTGTTTGTCACAGAGAATGAAAACCAGGACAGAATGAGGTTTGCTCTCACACTCTCTAAGGAATTGTAGGTGGAGTTATATAAACAACAAAGCAACGATCAAAGGGAAATCTTGGGACTGTAATATACCGAAGTATTAAAAGAACAGAGTCTTTTATCTGTCGTAGAGGAAGGAAGTAGAGCATTGAGACATGTGTAATAAATACAATTAAAAATAAAAAAACCAAGCAAGTCCTCAAAGAGACCGAAATCAATTAAAGTCTGTTTGTTTTTTTTCTTCTGTCCTTTCCCCCCCGGCGACCCCCCCCAGTCTGTTAAAAGAAGAAGAACGAACCAAAAATGCAATCTACAACAAAAATTACACTCCATCACCTGGAAGAACCAGCCATTCAACTCTATTTTAAGCCGAGCTTTTCCCCTCATCCTGTGAAAAAAGCTCTGTTCAATCACAGACCACACGTTTGTTCACTGCCAGCCTCAGGCTTACCTTGTCCTCCACTCTGTTCAGCCGGGCACCAATCGTGTTATTCCCTCGATCTTTGCTTTTTTCTGTGAACAAGAAACATTTTCATATTAATGTATGGTGTTATAACAAAACATCAGTAAGCCACAACAGGGTATGTATAAGTAGCCCACCAACACAGTGTAACTGAACACCTCTACCAGGCTGGTAGTTTTATTTCTGAAAAGCGGCTTTTTGTTTCTTTTTATAGTGCAAGGCCCAAGCCACAGCTTTTAAGAGCCCTTAAGCTTAAGGCACTTTCAACCTTAGCTTTATGCTTTAGCCTGGGAGATCAAAACCGGTCCCAAGTTAGTTAACATTTTAATTACTGTTTAAAAGACAATTTGGCACTATGTGCAAAAAATAAGTATGAGCAACGCACGTGGACAATGTTTTGTCTTTTTTTCTTTCTACATACCATACAGAAAAATAAACTTGAAAACAACAGTAACAGGGTTTGGATTAACCAGTCTTGCTGCTAAACAAACTTAATACTTTGGGTTCCTTTTCTACTTTCCTTTCAAAGATAACAAAGATGTATGTGAATATTACTGATTTCATAGGAACTCTGTATTTATAATACACCATTTTACTGGAAACAGGATGAATCCCAGAGAGATTAGAGTCATTATTTTGAAAAATCCAGTGAAAGTAGGTGCTATGGTTTAACCTGGCAGGTGGCTGAGCACCACGCAGTCACTCACTCATTAAACCCCTTCCCAGCGGGATGGGTGAGAAAATTGAAAGGAAACTAACAACAAAGTAGAACTCATCGGTTGAGATGAAACTATTTACTAAGAGGAAGAAATAAAATAAGGCAATAGCTATGCCAAATATACCTATATGAACATGATAACAAATGATGCACAAGCAATTGCTCACCACCTCCTGACTGATGCTAGGCTAAGCTCCTGCTCATCAGAAGAGCCAAAACTCCCACTCCCTTCAAAACACCTTCCACACAATGCCATCTAGTATGGAATACTCCTTTGGCCAATTTAAGTCTACTGTCTTAATTCTATTCCCTCTCAGCTCCTTATACCCTTCACTGAGAATGACCTTGACTCTACAACATTGCTTAGCAGCAACTGTAAATATCAGTGTGTTATCAACACTGTCCTTCTCCTAGAACCAAAACACAGCATCGTACCAGTCACTCTGAATAAAGTAATTCCAACTCAGCTGAAACTAAGACACCAGGTGCTTTAAATATCTAATTAAGAACAGCCCTATTTAAAAAGGTGTTGTTTAGGTATCTACAATATTTAGTTAGCTTCAGGTCACAACTTTTTAAAATTGTTGCAACAAAATCAAAAGTATTTTTAAAAGGATTTCCCACTAATTATATCTTCATAAAATAAAATTTAGACATATTAATTTACCTGAGACAGAGATGAAAAGAGATGGCTTCCCTATGCACTGATCCAACCTGTGAACAAAGAAGAAAAATTTTTAGCTTTTATCAGACTGAGGTGATAAAGTGATATCAATCTTCATTTTCTGGAGCTGAATGGGAGGAGACCTCTTCACAAACAAGCAATGTGGTTTGTACAGCAAATGAACCAGCATTAGACTTTAATGGTCTTCAGCTTTCTTTAGCAAAAGTGGAGTTTTACCGTGCCCACTGCTTTTTCACATGAACAGAATTGCTGTTTCCTCAATTTTTGGGTCTACTGTAGCTTACTTACAGCATCCGCCTATTCTCTCTTTGTTTGCTCTTAAGTGTAGTTCTACAAGAGCAGGCAATGTTATTTCACTCTGTACAAGCACATCAAGGGATTATGGCCTACAGTCAGAGTAAGCTTGGTCTGAGGCAATGCACACAAGTATAATCAAAACAGTAAGTCTCAGTTATCAGATTTTTAAGCTCTCTGCCTTCTTCATCTTCTGTAAAAACAACGCTTCATTTGAATGACGTTTCTGTATTCTGTGAATTTGCACAGTCTTACCAATACAGCATTTGTAATCCTATCAGTTGTTATACCTTCTCTGTAACTCCTTGATTCGCACCATCAGGTTGAGATGACCCTGGGAATACTGCTCAATAACATCTCGGACATCGTATGGCTTTCTAGCTTGCTGTAAAATAAAAATCAGAAACAGATCGGTAAGCTACAAAGATGTATAAATATTCCACGTGAATGTAATTTATTTTCCAAAATCAAGAAGTAAATTCTTCTAAATGCATTTAACATTTTATTAAATTTCAGATAAGTTGACCATTGTATGATCATATATTTATTGTGGAATAATTATGACAATTCTGATTAAATCCACCTTTTTTTTTTTTTTTGTGACTGCATGTCTACTTAACTTTTGGGAGATTATCCATTAAACTTGAGGCCAAGAAACTATGTCTGCTACTTTGCTCAGAACCTTGTGGTCACCTTAGAGCATCTTCTGGAAATCAGTTTTATACTCATCAGCTATTAGCCAGTAGAGAGCTCTTTTGCAGGTGCAAGCACTTATTCTCAGCCTGAGCTCTCAGTTCAGTTCATACTATGTGAACCTTAAACCACAGTATTGGTTGAAGGTGCATGACTGATTTCCTTTTGCAGAAAGCCTGGTTCAGCTTTCTAATCTACTGGGAAATACTGGGAAAAGACCGGGGCAAGAAACAATGAGAAAGAAAGCCCTGGGTTTGAAATTTGTATTTCACGTATGGGGAGATCTTAATCCAACCTATTAGTAATAAAAACGCTTTTGTGAGTTATTAAAGGCAAAGATCATTTTTTTCCAAGAAATATTGAGACTAACTGGGATGTAACTGAATGAACCTGTCAAAGTGTAGTAATAAACTCAAAATATCTTAATCCTACTGTTAGAAACTGAAGCAATGATGCTCTAACACAACAGAAGGACAGGAGTAGGGTCTAATCTTCCCACGTCAGACTGAATAGTAAGCAACACCTGACATTACAGAAGAACAGAACAGGCTAGAATGGAGTACAACAGAGTACAACAAGGTGCAGTATTCAAGGTGAAGCCACACCAATGCTAAATATAGCAGGAGAATTACATATTGTAACTGGCTGGTTACACTGTGTTCAGCGCACCCCAAAAAGCAGCTTTCTCTCTTGGCTTTCAGGCCCCATTTCTGGCTCGTGTTGAGACTGCTGCCACCAGCATTTCAGGCCCCTTTCTGCTGAGCTGCTCTTCAGCCACTTGTCTCCCATCTGTGCATGTGTCTGTTGTCATTCCATCCCAAATGCAGCATTTGCATTTAAGTTTGTTGAACTTCATGCCACTTCTGATTGTCCAAACAGTCAAAAGCACATCTTGGTTTACTATTGTCAGCAAATCTGCTGATGATGCAGTCAACTCCTGCATCCAAATCACTGACAGCAATGTTGAACAGAACCATTCTTTGAACTGAGTCATGGGGAATACTGCTAGTGACCTGCCACCAGCCACATGTAGCTCCATTCGCTTCAGCTCTTTGAGTTCTGCCCTTCAGAGAGTTCATCACCCAGGGTAACAGGAACCTGCTCACAGTAAGAACATTTGTCCAGAAGGATTCTGGGGATGGTATCAAAGGCCATACTGAAATCAAGAAAGATTAGATCCACTGCCTTCTCTTCATCTAAGCAGGTGACCCTGTCATAGAAGGATATCAAATTACTAAGGCAAGACTTTCCCTTCATGAACCCATGTTGAATATGCCTAATGACAGCTTTGTTCTTTAATTGCCTTTCTGTAGCACCCAGGACATTTTTACGTATCTTTTCTGGGTACTGAACTAAGATTGACAGGTCTGTTGTTTCCTGAGTCTTCTTTTATGCCTATCTTGTGTACAGGGGTATAACATTGGCTAGCTTCCAGTCAGCAGAGACTCCCATGACCTGCAGTAAACTGTTGAGAGGGTCCAGCTTTAACGTCTGCTAATTCCTTCAGTGCTGTGATATGAATCCTGTCAGGCCCCTTGGACTTACAAACACTCAATGGATACAACTGGTCTCTTACAATTTTGGTGGCTACAAATGGAGAGTCATTGCTCCCCGTGGACCCCTAAACCTAAACCCTCTACAGTCAATTGCCTGGGGACACTGCTAACTAGCTCCTTGAGTAGCTTAAAGTTTGCTCTCTTAAAATCCAAGGTGCCAACTCTGCTGACGTTTTTCCTCCCTACACTAAAAATGTTGAACTCAACTGTTTCATGATCACTGTTTAGAAAATGTTCAAGGTTAAATGAAAACCTGTTAATTCTCAACATCATCTCCATCAGCTGAAGTCATCCAAAAAACCGGACTGAAAATTTCAGGACAGGCTCCAGTTAAATGTGGGGAAAACTTCCTATGATAAAAATGCATTGCAGTGCACTTCATTTCTTGAAGAAAACACTTTTTTGTATGTTTTGAAGGGGACAATTTCCTCTTTATCAAGTTTAATATCTTTGCTTTTATCACACTCCCTTGTTCAGGTAAATGAAATACTGGATAAGGGCCAGATGAGAATGGCAGTCAGTCCATTTTACAATTAAATTACTTTTGACATCCAACTGTTGTCTTCAGATACTGCCTTAAGGAGTTTCAAAAACTGCACATCTTCTGAAGATCAATTGTTCTGCACCTAAATAATAGGTTTTGTTAGTCTCCTGTTACATTTTGCTCTTATTCCACCTGCTCTTAAAAAACCAGAGTTCACCACTTCATCTTTAAAACTCTCTCTTCATATATTTACTTTTTCAGTAAAATATCACTTCATTAAGCAAATTGCATTTCAGTCTGCCAGAATCTCAGAAACCAACTGCAAACCTTGGGCTCATGTGAGATACTGATTTGACCAAAGAGCACACAGGAGTTCCCAGGAAAGCCAAGTGCTTACACACGCTGCAATCATAACCGACAGCCACAGAGAAAGAAGCCTGACCCAACAGTGGCATAAGCCCAAAGTCTTAGCCCTGTAAGTGTAGTACTATCAAAACAAACAAACAACCCCTGTCCTCCCCCCAGAATCTTTACTATCTTCATGTGATAACCCAGCAAGGGACAGATCTGCAAGATCAGCTCGAAAACTTCAGGTTCAGTAAAGCACTTTAGCAGGAAGAAGCACAAAGAGCTTTATTCTGCCTTCCATACTCTGCAGCAGGAGTCTGATAGTAATTCTAAATAGGTTACTGTCTGGTTTCTGTTTACCATTTAACAAAAACTGAAAATGTGGAGTAAACATAATTTATGAATGAAGTTCAGTTTCCAAGTCTGATGGAATATTTAATAGTCAGTACTGATTATTCTGCAATTACTTCATAGTGAAAGCTGACCTTTCAAGAAAAAATACTCATGCTGCTGCTGTTGACAACAGAATTTGTTAGTTCTGTAAAAGGAAAAAAAAAACTACAGCAGACAATGAATGAGTATTGAAGGAAAACGTACAAGCCAGTCCCACATGTTTCCTTAGCTTCTTTCCTCTCCTTTATTCCTCTCCTAATCAACTTATGGTAAAGAATTTCCTAAGTGAGAAAGACTTTCTCTCATCATATATGAAAATTCGCACAAATCACCAATGCCAGCTCCAAATAAGAAATGCACACAAGTGCCCACTGCTGTTCCCTTGTAGCTGCATTCAGAGAGAACTTTCCCAAGAGCCAGACCAGGGAGAGGGGAATCCCTGCAAGGGTATTTCTGGGAAATGTAACCAAGTAACAGTCAAATAAAATGGGCCTGGGATCCTTTGAAACAAGGACACTTTGAACTACATTGTTTGCTACAGCCCAGTGCGGAGATTAGGAAAGATTACACACATACAACTCATGATTCATACTGTGACAAACAAATTTCATATGGTGATGTGTCTAAATGCAAGATTTTCCAGTGAAATCATAACAAACCAGGCAACGGTTACTCATGTCAACTGGTGGAACTCCAAGCTGTATCTTTAGTTTATTCTATGTATAGAATACTTGCCATGGTGAAGAGCACAAAACAAATTAAAAGCATGTTTCAGAAGGGAACTAAAAAAAAATAAATGTTTATAGTTGACAATGGGAAATCAGATCAAATCCCTGGTCTCTGGGTCTTTTCTGGTGGATGACACAATTGTATCCATGTGCATAAGTCACAAAACATTTAGGAACTTTCCTAATTGGAAAATAAATGTTATTTACCCATGAACTCAACCAGTGGAAATATCTAACTGTGGTGATACTTGATCACGGAGATACTTGATTTAGACCTAACGTGAAATTTACTTTTGTGTAGGAGGCGGGGACAAAGCCCAGGAAACCATTAATTTCTAAATACTGTTTTCCCTATAATCTATGGAATCCTTTCATAACATTGAGCTGTTCATCTTCAGTGATGCACAAGACTTGTGTTTACTACTAGTAGACCTTTCCTACACAATTTAAATGAGTCCCACAGACTTTGCAAGCATTATAGCTCATTTACAAGAGCATAAACACATCCTTAAAAAGGGCATTAATTCTTCAAAATGTTATGCTGGGTTCCTACACGGGCATCATCATATGGACTGTATTCAGACCTAGACTTTTAAATACATCATAAATTTGTCCCCTTCTTTTAAAGAGGAAATGATTTGTATGTGTGATGCTTCACATAGTATTACTTTTCATGTCCTTTGAAATGCCTTTGTTTAGCTTCAATTTGTTTTTAATTACCATTTTTTTTTTAAACAGGAAGTCCCTGCTTTCTAACTGACATTTGTCCTTGTGTTGTCATCACCACTTGTTATTGATTGAGGTCTTTAAAAGAACGTATCTGCACAAAATTAGACATACAGGTGTATCCTGCAAACAGCTGGTACAGTTTAAGAAGCATGCTGGGTTCATGCTGAGACCTATTTTGCAAAATTTTGCTCTTCCTTCCCTTCTTCTCATTCTTCCCCTTCCCAAAAACTTTGAAGGCATCTCTAGAAAATTATCCTTTTAAGTGCTGACCTTGCAATTAATTCTTCCAGCTTACTTTAAACGTTAGCAGTCTAGGGAAAATATACATAACTTTTTCCACAGATAAGGGAAAAATCTGAATTTACTGTTAGGAAGCTACTTTTCACAAAGTTTCAAAGGCAACTATCTGCCAGAAAACAGCTTCTATGTAGACCTTTGAAAGATTAAGTTTTCAAAATGCATATTCTGCTTTACCCTAATTTCAGGTATTGTGTAGGACTGGTTAACACAAAGTGTATACTTACGAAAATGTTTAAACATGTGCCAAGTAATTTCTTGTGATTATTTTATGAGCACATAATAGAACAAAGCAGATTTACAACATACATTTGAGGAAAGAATAATAAGAGTGGTTATCTCCTAATTACAGGAGAGGTTTCCAAAATCACCTCGTGGCTAGAATTTCAAGGTGATTTTGTGCATTAGGTTACTTAAGTGCTTTTGAAAACTGTACTTTTGGTGCTCTCCACATTTTTAAACTTGGTCATGACCTTGTATTCAGAAATTATGGAAAAGTATCAGGTATCTCCCTATTGGAAAACTCTACTTCCAACAGGAACAGAAGTATATCATTTCAACACAGTAGTGACGTCAGATATTTCACTTTATCTTAACTTAGATTGCTGGTTCATTACTAACAGCTCATATTAATAATTCAGGAAGCATAAGGACTACTAAAGAAGGATAAGAGACAACCTTGTTGAAGGGTTTTGTAGACAGCCAGGAAGAGGTCTTTTGCAGGTGAGAAAGTAAGAGCACAACTGAGAAACCAGCTTCGTAAATGGGACACTGAATACAAACAAGTTTTGAGTAGGAACTGAATAGTCCCATTCTATTCAGTGAAATGCTTTTTCAGCTTCTATCAAGTCATCTGCCGCAGGGGAGTTTCATTTATTTGCCAGGTGGATAATGTTGCACACAGTGTTCAGGCATTTTCTAAATCTGTTTTTGACAATCACCACCTGGGAGGTAGATACGTAATGTGTAGATTTCTTGTTTCTAAATAGCTTTGCTAATGCCATGGCAAATATTTTATGTTCTGAATTTATGGGAGCAGTGATTCCGTAATTACCACAGACCAAAGAATCGCAATCAGTTTGCAGAATAAGAATAAACTGAAGTGTAATGAAATTGGCCACATTCATGCTGTTTTTCATTGAATAGCAATGGACGCTTCACTGGAATGGGCCACATCCCTTTCCAAGTTACAAGTGCTGACCAGCCAGCACTAAGGAACTACAACAAAATAACTACAGAAATTATTTTCCAGTAGTCAGATTCCATGGCTTTCTTAACTTTAATCTAAGAAAAATGTTAGGCGAAATCTGCTAGCAGAAACTTTCTGAAAGTTCCCATCAAGAAAATCCCTACCATGGGAGGTTTCAGCCTAAACAATCTGAATACTTTATCCACAACTGAATGAAATCTGGGGAAATATATGGCAACCTTAGCTATAAATTCACTCATCAATTTTGGGGAAAAAAAGATTCACAAAAGAAAATTACTAAAAAAATTCAGGTGATGGTTCTAAATTTTGGAGCTGAAGTCAGAATCCAGGCTTTGAAGCACCAACAAGCAGCGGTTTATAGAAACAATGCATCCATGAATAGTTAATTACCATCATTTTTTAAATTCCTAAATGTTATTCTCTTCACATATTTGAAGGACAAAAGATCCCTTCTCATCACAACCCTTTTTTTTGGTGTAGATTAAGGGAAAGCTTTTCAGTCTCTTCCATACAGTAGTGCCAAGTTTATGCTCAAGTATGCATGTGGGCAGTTAAGCTCTCCTCTTTCTTTGCATTTTCAGCTGTGGTGCCTGTTCTATGGAGATTGTCCCTTATTAATTCATTTTAAGTCAAATTATGTATTTCTTATATACATGATATATTCACCTGGTTCAAATCAAGCTGAAGGCTATTGACACGTGTTTTCATGAGATTAACCAAATTGATTTTAAAACCACATACATAGAAAGTTTGCAGCCACAAATTTTCATTCGGACCAGGCAACCAAGTAAATTAGTAACTGCCAAACACTCATTATATTGCAATATCCCTGCAAGGGAAGAGAGGGAAGAGACACGCTGGAAATGTTTGTTGGTGGGGGTTACAGAAGAGAACAGACTGTCACAAGCTGTGAAGGAGGTGTGCAAGCATGCATTAGGGACAACTGAAAAGGATGCTAAAACCTTCCAATCCACTAGCAAATTTCCATTCCAGTTTCTTATCAGGACTTCAATATAATTGACTAAAAGACAGAAATAAGGCTGAGGTAGTATTTTAATCTCTAATCCTACTGACTCAGCATGACAGTAACATACAGCTCAGAATTAATGGAGACATATGAGAATGTTTGCACTGTGAGAAAGAGGCAGCGATAACGGAGGGTTAGAGGTCAAGTCCATTAGCAGAAAATAACATTTTAATTCAGACTGCATTTCAGGAGTTTAGCCTATTTTCAGTGTGTCCACAGTTGACTAGCCTGCTGCTAAACAACTACTCTATTCAAGTAGGGAGAGAATAGTGGGTGTAGCTCTCCATTACTGAAATGAATTGTGTCAGTCTCTCAAAGTTTCTAAAAGAAACAATGAAGCAGGAGAGTAAGAGGGCTTATTAGGAAAAGCAGCTTTCTATTCACTACTCACCTGAAACTTTTTCTTGGCCACAAAATACTGCATTCTTCGGATCACTTTAATTGCAGCACGGTGATGTTCTCTCAGCCTGAGGGAAAAACAAGGCAGGTGAGTGAGGTGAAGGAGCATCTCCTTCCAAATGGTGAAATAGCAGCCTTTAGTAAGGGCTTCACCAACATGTGGATGTGTGATGTAATGAGTAGCAATTCATCCAGTGTGTACAACACAGTACTATTTCGACCTTCCCCACCTCAAAGAATGCCATAAAAGTCAGGATTTTATCTGCCCCACGTTAGGTTTGCATACATGTCACAGCAAGAAGTGTTCACTTAACCTCTATGTCAAAACAATCCTCTACTCATCTTTCCCAATTCAGCCACGCGCAGCTTTTGCACACAACTAGAATTCACGTTTTTCTTTTCCTGTCACTAAGTCTTGTACAATACATCCCTTCATGAAAATCATTTGGCTTTCAAAAATGATTTTAGAAATACTGAAGATTTTCAAGTAGTTGTCTGCTAAACAATCCAAATGATCCCGCAGTAGCTGAATGCAACCTCAGTATACACATACATCCCCAAAGTGAACTGGAAGTGTACATAAATACAGACTAAGCTTGCAGGTCTTTAAACAAATGTATCTCCCTCTCATGCATATAAAAAAGATGACAACTAAAAAAAAATAAATGGCTATGTGTACAACTTTTCATACTACCTGACAATATTATTTTTCAGAAGGAAATGTATGTATGAAAGAAACCTGTTTATTATAGGAACAGTCATTTGCCATCTTTCATAATTTTTAATGCTTGTAAGAAGGACAGTTTTTTCTTAACATTAACAGTGCCAAATCTAATACATAAAATATCTGTTGATGACTTATTCTACTTGCTCACTCCATTACTATTCTCCAGATGCGCTAGAATGTCGTTATTGGCAAGCATATGACAATGTTTACTTCTTTTCAGAAAAGCTGGAACCTCCAGTATTTTGAGTTTTCCTCCCAAGTAGACTTCCAGTGATGGCTTAAGCACAGGAGCAGACAAAGCAGAACTGGTTTTACTTAGGTATTCCATGTGTTTTTCCTTCATACATTGTTAGTAACAAAGCTGATAGGTAGGAATATCCCTGTATTGAATATGTAAGTCTTGTAAAAGCTTGGCTATTTAGTATATTATAGCATGGTATTACCTAATTTGTTTTAGTTAACAGTCTGAACTATCAGTGAACATTCAGGTAACTCCTTAGGACAAACTTCTCTCAGCAAACAGAAATTTTGCATGTGCCAATGATGGACATCAGTCCTCTGAAAATATGGCAAGAGGAGCCTTTATAAACGCTCATACTTTTGAGTGGGAATGAATGAGCTTTCTCCAAATGCAAAAGCCAAAACCAAGACTGAAATACATTCATTTCCTACATGTGCATACTGCCTCTCAGCTGGTGTCTAAATAAATAAAATAAATAAAATAAAATAAAATAAATTAAAAAACCTGCTTTCTCCTGATACACTGTACGATAGGATGGCTTTTCAAATTAATAACATAAGCTTTTCAACGCAGGCCTGCTGTCCACTACGTGCATTTACACAGAGTAACTGCACCTCAATGATTATGCATTGTTCCCCAAATCTGCAATTGGGTTTGTATGGGAGGCCCTTCCCTACTAATACTTACTGAAGGGTCTCACAGAGACTCTGTCCATGTCCCCTCTCACGCACACTTGACTGCAAGATTGTGGCTCATGTTATAAGAATGGGAATTCACTTATAAGTGGGCCAGCTGCCTTCTTGGATCCACTCCCAGTGAACTGAGTCAGCTCAATGCTAGTAAGTGGTATTCCCATTGCGAGAGCCCTTGCTGAATCACTGCTCAGGACAGGGACAACATACACAGAACCAGAAGGCAATAAGGAATTTATCTTTTTAAGTCCTACTTCACAGAGTTAGATCCAAAAAGATAAATGCTGCTGAATTTGGTATTAGGTATTAAAGTTGTGATAGCGTAACCTTCATGCAGGTCTGCATACATAAATGTACACACAACACCTTATGACAAATAGAAATACACTTCACTTGCAATAAAACTGCTTGTAGTGTTTTGTTTTATGCTTCATTTCCTCTGGGGTGTCCTTCACAGTCCATTATTTGTAAGGAAAATACTTTTCTGTGGGGCACACGGTCACCAGTAAAGTACACCAAATCCCTCATCCTCCGTCTCAATGCAGAGGATCATCTGTACGCAAGGCAGCAGGACAATAAAAATGAGATTCACCATTCAGTCACATAACAGTGCTACAAGACCAAAACGATTTTCCAATGCTGCAATTTTAAATCAATCCTTTTTCAGTGCGAACATGAACTTCAGTGCCAGGAATGGAAGTTAATATTTTGTTCCTTTACATTTCCAACTGCAATAGGAAACCTCACAGTAAACTTCTGCTTATGCCGTAAAATCTAATTCTGCCCAACAGGCTGTCCTGCTTCCCTGAGATTAAATGCTTCTGCAATGAGGGAAGGGAATAAAGCATTTAATTAGTAGCCAAGGTTATGATTCACAGTTGTTTGATCTCTTTTGCAAACTGGTAACAAATGCTTCAGTAAATTGAGAGCTTAAACATTAACTGGCAATATTTGTTTGTTCAGCCACTCGTGACATCTCTAAATTCTACTTACAAAATGACTGCCTGCAATCTGGAGGGACATACAGAGTCATTGTATGCGAAATAGCCACACAATGCATTATTATCCTCCAAGCAAGATCTTCATGAAGACTGCTTTATGTTACTGAATTTTAAAGGAGCGTGGAGGGAAATTACATCATCTGAGAGTGCTTCTAGGCACAGGGGCAGCACACTTTCATGGTTCACGATCCACGGAGAAAGCGGCGGACATCCTCTGGAGAATTACTGCTGCACAGAACACATTTCCAATGGCAGTGCCAGGTGCATGTCACCTCCTTGTTCATGCTACAGCTGGGCCATCAGGAAGAACACTACTGTTCAAACGTTTAACCATAAGCCATAAGGCCAGAAACATCCACTGTCCTGTCTCAAACCAAGACCAACTGCTCCTTGTACACAGCTTACTGCACAGCCACTAACTGCCAATAGCTTTCACTGGCTGCCCATGAACTTCTGTTCAACATAAATATGACGTCAAAATAATCTTCAACACAGCATATACTACCCAACACTTCTAAAGGACTTTAAAAATTAATGAATAGAACTGCCAATGAAGCAAGAAAATTGCCAGAAGCTATAGGAATTATCTAGAAGTATTGCAAAAAATATTACAACTAAACAAAAACAGAAAGTCATCCTGGTAGTAGCAGGGTTGATAACTTCATACAAGCCCTAAATTATTCCTATTCTGACACTTAGAAACTAGGTTTGCTTTTTTCTGTGTACTGAAAAAGTAACCTGCTGCTGATGTGGTCATTCTGTGAAGCATAAGAAATGAGGACAAAGGAAAAAACACAACAGGAAACATGCAACAAAAGGCAATGGGCGACTTGAGCATCTGCACTGTAAGAGAAAGCCTGACAGAATAAAATGACTAGAAATCATTAGTTTTTCTGCCTTCTTTTGTTGTTAGGTTACTAACCCTACCACAAACCATTTGGAAGAAACCTGATCACTTCATTAGTCCGTCAGAAATCTGGACTGGAATTTCAAATAATTTGGAAAACAAGCATGCTGAAGAACTTAAGGTACTTTTACAAACATGCTTATTTGGTTGGAAAGTTATATATTTACAAATGCCCCAAACTATTGTAAAAGAGCCATTAGTATTGCAATGTTATTTATTTTTTACAACGTATCCAAAACCTCAACACAATCCCAAAGGTATGACTCATTCTACAGTCCTGCATTCACAGACAGCCACAGTGATGACCCTAGACTTCAGCCAGCATCCATCCTCATTGCAGGTTGCTGTCTCAATCCTGCAAAGGGACCTGCAGGGGTTCCCTAGAAGAATGCTTATGGGGCCAACGCTGAGATTCCAAGAATGAATATTTTCTTCCTACAACACCAGCCAGGAAGTAAGCAGTTACACAGTTTGGCTGTTTCACATTTCAAGAAAAATTAAACTTTTTTTAAAATAAGAAGAAGCTTTATAAGATTAATCTCTAAAACGCACAGTTCTTTCATTAAAGAATAAAATAGGAAAAATATTTAGTAATTGGGTGTATTTATTGTTCTTACAACGATGCTGAATTTGATATCAAATCCTTAGTAATCCCATTACAAGTTTGGCCCCCTCCTCATCTTAAAAAGGTATTCTAACTATTGATTTAGTGCTAACAGAAATACTGAATCAACAATTCAGAGGAAAAGTGGTGCTAATTTCCCAATTAAAACACTTGTATTTTGTTCGCTTGTAAAACATCTCATTTTCAGGACCATAATACCTGGCACAGACATCCCCGTGTACAAGGGCATCGATACCATCAGAGTTAAAAGGTCAACACTGCTCAGAATGAGTTTAACAAGAAGGAAAACTCAGGAGGAGAGAGCTACAATATCCTTTACAAATACTCTCTTCTCAGTAAACCCAACACTGATTTGAAGTCAAGCTCAGTTTTCAAATATATTTAAATTCTCTGCAGTCTTCTTAAATTTCCGACTAAAGACAGAGCTGAAGCATTAAGAGCTATGGCTGCAGTTGGTTGCCTTTAAGTTTTTGGCACTAATCATTATTTAGACTTGAACTTTATCTTTAACACATCAGATTTTAATAATATTTTTTGCATGTGAACTGAAATCTTTTTCCATTCAGGCACTGAAAATTGTTCCTTGTAACAAAACCTGGTGGAAAAGATTCAGAGCAACTACGTTAGGCCATTTCATTAGTGCATTTAAGTCTAACAAAATCTTTCATCATTAGCTCTCTGGGGGCTTTTGGTATAGAATTTGCTGTGACACAAGGTTATTCTTGTCTTTTCACACGTTCTGTCATTCCCTACACATTACACTTGATGGGAGCCTCTGTTATTGGGCAACATTTTATATGTGACGAGTTGGAATGGATCAGGTTGCACTGATGTGTGTCTTGCAATAGGAAATGCTTGCTCACCATGCCCAGGAA